TGGGATTTTCATCTCAAAGTGAGGTAGGGGGTGTTTCATGTTTATAATCTTAGTGTTTTACATGTTTTTGAAGTTTATATAACTTGTATACATGTTTATAGTTTAGATCTAGAAATGGGTTTTATTTTTAATTAAATGATAATTTAATTTTATGGTTGTAACATGCTTAGAAGAGATTAAAAATATGATATTTAGATAACTCATGACTTGTTGTTTGTCATATATTAATTTTGAAATTTTTGGATGACTTTTGAAATTAAGAGATTTTTAATTAATTAAGTTAATTAAAAATTAATTAAGTGTTTAGTGGCTTAATTAGATTTTTGATTTGATATTTGTGTTAATCATGGTATGTTGCTTGATATGTGTTAATTTCATGTTATTTGGAGATATTTTGCAATCTAGAGAAATTAATTAATTTTTATTTAATTAGTTTACATTTAATTAATTTATGGTTTATTTATATCTTTGATATTTTCAAGGCTTATTATGTTATATGCCATGGTAGTTGAGGACTTAGGGCATGTCTTGTGTGTTTCCACAATTTGATTGTGTATGGTATTTGATTAAGTGCATTTAATATATATGTATATACTTGTTGTGCACTACTTGTTGATTTTGGAAACTTGGGATGTCATAAGAATGACCATGGCTAGGGTATGGCTCTAGTACGGGGGATTTAAGAGCCCTCTATCTTATAGTGCGCACTTAAGGGCCGGTACCCACTAGCTAGTAACCCAAATGATGCCTAATGTCTGGTTCTACTTCGGCGTGATGTCCAAGTATCCGTATGATTGATTTCGCATTTCAATTCCAAGTTGTTTACTTTGAGAATTTATATTTTATTATTTAGTGTTTGATGTTCCAATGTTGTCTAAGTTGCATTATTATTTTGGCTTATGTTATGAATGTTCTAATGTAACTGAGGATGATCCTTTAATCCCATATTGAACATAGACGTTAGGTGGCATGACCAACATGGATTGATTTATATCAATTTATAAAGACTTGCAAAACTTTACATTATACGCATGTTTATTTCCTACGAGTAATTTGTTTACTCACTCTCATTGTTTGGGACATTTTTTAGGTAAAGAACCATGTTTTAGGGGCATTAGCATGCCTAATGGTACTTGCATGTTATCATGATGTACATTGGGGTGGAGGATACCTTGTTGGTCTAAGTGACCAAGGTCCTCCACATGGTCCTCATTGTATCCTTCCATTGATGAAATAGATTGACTAGGACTACCTCTTCTCCTAGGATTTCGAATAATGGATTCAAGATGAAAATTTAAAGGGACAAGAGTGGGTCTTAATGATCTACCACCATGCATGCATAATGCAACACAACAAGAAATAATGACAAACACTTCACCTTCACAACAAGTCAATAATTAACAAACTTCCTCCACATACAATGTTCCCATACTCCATGCTTTAACAACAATATGCAAGAAAAGTAAATTACCTCCACGCGGGCTCACGATTTATCTAAGAATTGAAATACAAGCCTCCACACTGGCCGACGATTTAACAAAGGGTTTGAGTAAGAAAAAACTCACAAAGGTCCTTTAGCACTTTAACTCTAAATTTTTAGCTTTTAGCTTAGCATTTTTTTTATTTATGATTTTAACCTTTTTCCTTGCTTGCTTAGCTCCTTTGCTTGAAATACTCCTTTACTCACATTCTTAGCCCAATGCTCTTAGTCAAACAAAAACAAACACAATAAGTAACAAAAATTGAAAACAAAGTAAAGACACGATCAAAAGAGTACTAATTCCTAATTGATTCCACAAATACGACGTTGCCAATCAATCAATCCCCGGAAACGACGCCAAAAACTATGGTGATACCCCGAGCGTGTGCACAAAATAATGCACAACACTTTGAGTTTGGAAATTAGTGTCAAGTGGGCATCATAATTTAAATTTATAAACCGCTTAACACCTATACTATGTAGTATGAGTGAGAAGGGATCGTCCCAAGGGATTGAGGGTCGTACTAGGTTGAGGAATCAAAATTAGGGTTAGTAGGTCGAGTGATCAAAATAGTGGTTGGTGGTTAAATTACACTAAGATGCAATTTAAACTAAAGTAAACAATAATGCAATTAAGAGAATGAAAGAGATAGAGAGATCTTGGGGTTTAGAGATCACCACTAAACATACTTTTATACACCTTTAATGAATGATTAATGAGGGAAAAAACATGTATTGCAACAAAGAGTGTGTGTGTGTGGTTGTTTCCATAAGCATGAATGACAAATTAAGCATATATTGTCTAAGCAACATGGTGGATAACACAACATATCAAATTAAGCCATTAATCCCTTCTTTAAGCTCACAACCAAACACATTACAAGGTTAGAGATAAATGTTACTTGCTTTCATAAGTATAGAATATCAACAACAAGTATGGATTGTCTTCCCATTTAACAACTACACTACAACTAAGCTAATGACATGAAATTAAACTAATTAAACTAAGGGAGATGTACAATCTATCAAAAAATGAGTATGGACCATCAAATAAACCATAAGAACATTCCATTAAGCACTATGTTTTGACAATCTCTAGATCTATAACATTAATACACATAGACATGCATCAACAACACAAGAAATAGAGACAAATACATGAACATCTATTCTAGCATACATAGACATATGGATAGAATGAAATGATCAATTAGAAGTATTAAACCATATAAATCATTGAATAAACAAGATATATATATATAAAACTGTCAAGACATGAATCACAATACAAATTCCCTAAAAAATACATAAATCAAGAAGTAGAAAGCATGCTTAGGGCTAACTCTAACCCCAAGAAGATGTTTAGCCACTCATGGATGATGTCCTCCAACCCTCAAGGGCAAGCTCCATGGAAGAAATCTGCTCCTTGGTTGATGAAGAGTCTCCAATGTCTCTAGCCTCTTCCTCTCATTTGCTTCCTCACTAAGTATTATCTTTTCTAAGTATGTGTATATGTGTAAAAGTGGCTCATATTCCTTATATAGGTAGGTCAAAAATCACCCCAAATGAGCTGGGCTCATACACCTATTATCCTCTCATGATTGGATATGAGACAACTTTTAAAGAGCTGGAATTTTGATTTTTCTCGGGATTTGGGAAGTTTGATCGATCGAACTTGGGGTGAGATCTATCGAACATCGCTGAGATCTATCGAATTGAAGCTAGATCGATCCTCAATGGCGGCGCCTTTTTGGATAAAAACAAATCTGAGATATTTTGAAGATATTTTTGGGAAAAGGACAAAAGTGGTTGGTAGGGTGGTACAACTAGATAAGATCTAGCATGTGGATAAGGACAAGAAAGTTCGATCGATCAGAGAATAATATTGGATCGATCGAACTTTTAGGATCTCTGAAAATGACATCATGGCCTGGATCTATCTTGAAGTGCTGAGATCGATGGAAGTTGAATCGATCAAACTTTTTTTGAGATCGATCGAAGTTGCTGAAATTCCACCATTTGCTTCCTTTTGCTCTACTTTGCTCCTTTCTTTGATTCATCCCAGAATTACTTCATTTCTGCTCTTATTTGGCTGAGTTAGCTTATTTTGGGGATAAGTACCTGAAAATGGAAATAATACAAAATCAATATAAAACGGGAAAATAAGATAGATAAAGGTTCTAGAATACCTAAATTTAATGGATTTAAATACGCACTTTTCAGCGCTCATCAAAGCTATTCAGAGTTATATATATATATATATATATATATATATATATATATATATATATATATATATATATTAAAAAAAAAAAGAATTACACCAAATAAGATTTAGTTTAAAAAACAAGAATTATAGACCTTGATTACAGACCTTCATCATAAAATTGAATTATAGAAAATAAAATTAAAACAAAACCCATAAAATAGAATTATAGACCTTCATAAAAATTGAATTACAGAAAAAAAAAATTAAAACAAAACCCATACATACATGAGGGGATATGGTGCCATGGAGTTCAAAAATCAACTAATAAAGCAAAGAAAAATTTTGAGATATTGATGTAATATATATTATATACACACATACACATGCATATAGAGAGATAGAGGACCTGGATGGTGTTGTTGGAACCAACATAGTACTGATCAACAGTCTTCAACCATCCAACATCGTGCGTGTGAGGAACTAAATGAACATTGAGTTTCCTGGGAATAATGCCTGGTTTTGATCTAGTGTCTGGTTTGCGAACGGCGAACCCGAACTGGAACAGTGGGAGATGGAAACTGAAAGATAAGGGTTTTGAACTTTTGATTCTTGTTGATTTTGTAGTTTGCAGTTGCGCCGGGGGGGGGTGGAATTGCAGAGTTGAGAATGAGAATAGAGATGGAGGCGATTGGGGAGGCTAAAATGATTTGCCCTAAAACTATATTTGGCTATTTGGGAGGCTGAAATGATTTGCCCTATATATATAATATTTCTGAAAAAGAAAAAAAAAAATATATATATATATATATAGGTTTTTTTTTTGACTAGATATTTTAGATTTTAAATTTTTTTTAATTAAGTTTAATTTTAGTTTCATTTTAATATCTACAACTTGACTTGAAATGTACATAATGTTAACATTAGTGATGCAAATATGAATGGTGGGAATGGTAGTTGAAAAAGAATAGTAGTTGTGTCAAAAAATAGCATTTTGCATAAAATGCATCATTGGAGCAGAATTACTAAAATGAAATATTTTGACATTATAGTACTATCAAAATATAAATTTGACATCCGAATTCAACATTTTACCATTAGAGACGCTCTAAGCGGGAAAATCAGCTCCGTCAATAGTGAGTCGAATTGACGGTTTAAGAAGTTGTTTATCATGCGAGGAGGTTGAAAATACATAATTTTGCGCTTATTTTAATGCGTTAAAAGTGTCATCAGTCGTGAGGTGGAGGGAAAAGACAAATCGTGGTCAGTGTAGTCAGCACGGATAATGTTATCCAGGTAAAGAGTGCGCAATTGGTCTGTTCTCGTTCTTATTCATCTTCTACTTCATTACTCGGGTCGATAGGCACAAAGTGGATTAACCAAATTCCAATTTTCGAAGTCTTGTTAGGTACCCTCAACAATGACAACTCTGGGTCTTGGCCTTCCACCCTTCAACACTCTCAGCGTCTCGCGTTGTAGTTCCAGTTTTCGAGATGAACATCGCATGATGCAATTGGGTTCAGGTTATTGCCTCAGCTCTCCAGATCCCTCTCATCTGAAACTCAGACGCTCTTATAGAACACGACAAAGGGTCAGTGTATCTTCCACCTTTTCAATCTTTCGTTCAATAATTAAATTTGGTCTATTATCTATCTATATGCACATGTATTTGAATATATATACTGTATGTGTGTGTATATATATGTTTGAATGTATGTTTGTGTGTGTGTATATATATATATTTAATGAGACGGGTCGTCCTTGTATTTGATTTAGTATTCAAGAATCATACGAATGCAAGCAGTTGAAGAGGAATACGAGTTGAAGCAAATGAAAGATATGGCTGCAGCTAGAAAGAGATGGGAAGCTATGGTATTTCTGCTCAATTACTTGCAATTATTACTAGGATTTTTTAAAAATTTGTTTCTATTTCATTTTACTTAAATAGATTTACTAAAACCCTGGAATTGTTAGTATTATACTACCATAGTTGATTCTTTTTACAACATTCTTGTTTATGTAATGTATTAGTTTCTTGTTTCCAGTGAATTGGGTTTTTAATCACTTGCAAATTCCTGCACGGAATTGAAAACTACTTGACTTTGTTTGTAATTTAAAATCCCAAAAGCTAGTTCAACCATATCTGTTTGTGGACATACCAGAAGTGCTGCAATTCCATTATCAGTTGTTTGAAATTTGTGTCTTACAATTGGAAGTGGAACTCACTTCCATTCCAATTACACGAGACTAAAATTTTCCATATCCCGTGGTTATCATGAATTCGGTCAGATTAGGGTAACATATATGATTCTTCATTCTTAGTTTCTACAATTGGGAATAATATCCGTAACATATTCTTCAACCAAAATCTAATAGTAAAATAATAATGATGATAGCAATTTAGGTCTATATGCACCTTCACACAAATATATGTGTGTGTGTGTGTGTATAACACCAAAAGCAGACACATATATATATATGTGTACATGTCAGGACCCGCCAACAATGTGTAGATACGGTCTGCTTTGCACACTGTTTGTGTTCACGGTTTTCAAAACGTGTCGACACAGTTAGAAGGCATCCACACATATAAGTGCGGTTTGCTTTGCACATTGTCTGTGCTCGCGGTTTTCAAAATGTGTCGACACAGTTAGAAGACATCCACAGATATAAGTGCCAACAACTTCTCCCGAGGCAAAGCAAGACGACCAAATATCTACATAGCGTGGTTTAGGCCTTGACATATGGTATTAAAGCCAATCCCCAGCCGGAAATAGGGGGATCGTGCATAAATTCATAAGGGTTACGCCCTAAGAAGCACAGACATGCCAAAATGGGCGAAGAATCCGTGTTCAACACGTGTCGGACACGTATACCAAGCATCGGACACACCAAAAAAAGGTTTCTAGAATTTTTTTTTTTTTTTTTTAAATTTTCGGACACAGCATGGACACTCCGCGGACATACGTGTCTGGAATTTTTTATTTTATTTTATTTTTTGTTAAATTTTTTAATGCTCATATGTTCTTTTTTTGTTTTGTACTATCCTTTTGGTATTGTAAATGGTAAAAGTCCTAGGTCAAATGATGGATGGGAATAGATGATAGTACATTGACTTGTTTTGTATCTTTTATTGGGACTAGCCTTTAGGTTTTTGTGAATGTTTCTAACGGTAAAGTCCTGAATGTTAAACAGTCATGAATGTTAATAGTCTTTTCTGTCTATGCTTTTGTATTTGGAGTAAAGTTGCAATGATGATTAAATGATACTAATTATTATTCTAATGTCTTGTTTTTTATTTGGTTTTATAACTATGCAACTTTGTTCTTTTATAATTTATTAGTTATGAGTTATGATTTGTGTTTTTTTTTTTTTCATCGTGAGGTTGATGAAAAATGGTAACACTCAGTAATTTTTAAAGTACTACATCATACACACACACACACACACACACATATATACTATTCGCTGTGTCCTCACCATGTCCGTGTCCTAATTTTTTTGGATTTGCCGTGTCACCGTGTCCGTGTCGTGTCATATCCGTGTCCCGTATCCGTGTCCGTGCTTCTTAGGTTATGCCACTGAAGGTGCTGGGTCTGAAAAGGGGATGATTGAGATGTCTCACATCACCTGGGGGGAGAAGTTGCTGGCACTTATATATGTGGATATCTCCTAATTGTGTAGGCGCGCTTTGAAAACCGTGAGCTCTTACAGTGTGCAAAGTGGACAATATCCACACAGTGTGGCAGGTCGTGACAATATATATAAACATCAAAAGCAATATCACTTCCTTGCTATTTCAATATTTTCACTCTTATTTATTTGTCTGTCATGTTATAAATTTATAATGCATAATAAGGACATGTTTGATGGAATTGTGACTATAATTAGATTAATTGTTGGAGAAACAACTCAATTTTCAATTACTATAGGCTTTCATTAAGTCAATGTCATTTTACCTTTGTTATAATGAACTGACGGAACGTGTTTAGAATGGGTACCCATGGTATGTATTCATTGATGAATTTGTTTGTCAAAATCGCGATCTTGGATTGTAGAATTGCACGATTCTACTATCCCACCAACCCAAAACGAGTCAACTCGTATAGAAATCGTTCCCCTGTACAAAATCGTAGTAAAATTGTGTAGAATCGTAGTAGAATCTTGCGATTCTACAAGATTTTGAGATTTTTTTGTTTGGGCTTATCTTTTTTGGCCTGGTTCACTTTCTTAAGTGTTGGATTCTCTAAATAAGAAAGGTCCACAATTTTGGGGCCCAAAACAAGTCCATATAAATAAGAAAAAAACACTAGCCCTAATCCCCAATTTTTCTTCTTTTTTTTTTTTTTTTTTTTTTTTTCCTGTTGCTGTTCAAATTTTTTATTTTTATTTTCCTGTTTCTGATCAATATTTTATTTTTTTTAAGCATGAAGAATGGGCCCTTTAATTCTATTCTGTTCTTTACTTTTTACATTATGCTTTGTAACTATGTTTAGTTCCTTTTCTATTTTATTTGTGTTCTCTTCTTTTAAGGGAGCTGTTGTAAGTTTAGATTAGGATTTGGGATTTGTGAACTTATGTTATGGATTAGGATTCAAACCTTCATCTTCTCACACACTTCACAACTTACAAATTGCATAGTTGTCATGAGAGCTCTACCTTTTGAGCTACATTCTCTTTTATATATTTGAACTTTGGTATGGTACCTTCATACATTTTTTATTTTATTTTTTTGGTGTTTTGGCCTTATTCTTGCTATATTTTACACATTATATTGTTTAAGAAGTTAGTTTGAATTATTTTTTTTTACTAGTTGGTAGAATCTTATGATTTTCGATCTAATTCTACGATTCCGATTCTACGGAGCCCAAAATGATTCTACGTAGAATCCCGATTTTAACAACCTTGAAATAACTAAAGCTGGTTTAAGACAAGCATAACTAAAACAAAAATTGTCATCAGGCTCGTTAGGGAAGAAAAAGTAAGGCTAGGTCAGCTGCCAAAAAAATCAGAGTTGATATATAAACCATTAAATAAATTATAAATTTTATTTGGAAATTATAAAATAAATTACATTAATATCTCTAACTCATTCCCTTCCTCTTCTTCTTCTTTTTTTTGGCTTTTTCATATGTAAATTTTGTTGGTATTCCGTGATAATGCTAAGACCTATCTAGGCCGTGCAAGGCCATTCGTCGACAGGGAGGTCTAACGTTCTATGTTGACTTTCCTTTTTGGTTACCTAAATCTGTTTTATCATAGGTCAGGCAGGAAAAAGTCAAAGTTCTCACACCAAGGGAAGCTGGGTATGCAATTCAACTCTCCGACAAAACGCTACTCGACGTTCGTCCCTCTACTGAACATAAAAAGGTGAATGCTTTTCCTTCTCAATTTTCTTTTCCAGTGAAGTCATATTGTGTGAACATGGATGGCAGATGTCATACTTTCTGGTACACCTTTGGTACTCGATCAAAATTTTGTATTCTCTATCACTCTCCACATTACTTCATTATAGATTATCACTTTGTCTTAGGAGTTTCCTAAAAACTCTGCATTAAGGGCAGAAGTTGCACATTCAAAGCTTGAGTAGTGTTGTAAGTTCATTTTTCTTATTGAATTATGCATCACTATTACTTGTTGATAATTTGTCGTTGCATACTTAGTTTTACCTTTTTCCCCTTTAAAAAAACTTGGACCACATTGTCTCTTTCCACTTCCATTATTATGTTCTCATAATTGTAGCTCTTGTTTGAAGGCATGGGTTAAAGGCTCAACCTGGATCCCGATCTTTGATGTTGATGATAGATTTGATGCTGGAATTCTCTCCAGAAAGGTCACAAATTTCATGATGGGTATCATACAATTCTCTTCTTTTTTGTAATTGGTATTATTTTTCCAATTAATTAAAGGACTTCCTAATAGTTAAATGAATAGTCAGTAAAAAAGTTTGTATGGGTTTCTATTAGGAACAAGAAAGTACATTTGCCATTGATTAGATTGCGATACATAGACCATCCGATTCTTCTCAGTGTACACATTATGGGTATATGTGTCCAACACACGAGCCAGACTAGACATCCCGATTCTCCATGTGTGATAATCAATGAAGAAGAAAAAAAACTCAAATTTGAGAGGAAAGAGGAGTTTTCTACTTTTGAAATAGATTAAAATCCAATGTTTCATCACATCCCATTTAATCCAAATTTTTAACAGGTTAGATTCTTAAAAAAAAAAAAAAAAAAATTCATATATTACACTAGTAAATAACATATATTCTATTTTAGAGCAAGTTTCCGATAAGCCCTCTTCTAGTTGTTAAAGGCATGCCTAGGCTCCAAAAAAGCCCCAGGCTCGTCAAGGCTCAGCTAGAGCGCCTCAACCTACTAAGGGCTAGGCTCCTTCAATCAGGCTCACATAAAGCCCTCAGGTTCACACTTTTTAATAGGCTACAAGCTAAAAAAAGACCACGCCTTGTATTTTTTAATCATTTATTCATATCATTTTCTTTCTTACTTGATGACTAGTAAATTAAAATGTTCTATATCATATATCTTATTGTTAAATCTTTTGAAATATTTGACAAAGTTCATAAATTTATGGTTCACTACTTACATTAACTGCAATTACTGCTTGATTATGAATATTTATAATAATATATGTTTAAATATGCATTATTACATACACGCGCCTTACTTCGATCAGGCTCGCGCCTTATACTGCGCCTTGCGCTTAGGCTCCACATGGCATTTGGCGCCTTAGTGCGCCTTGAGCCTTTAACCCTCTTGATTTCACCAGGAGTTGCAGAGGAGGTGACCCCCCAATACTTCATATGGAGACTCTCTGCGGCTAGATTTCACAAACTGTCTAATACTGCTTCTTTTCTTCTTCCTCTTTTTATTTCTTTAACTTGGTGAAAACGCTTGTAAAGCATACGCAAGAAGGTTATAATTGCCTCCATAGCCTATTCTGCAACTGGGTATTGAAGTTTTGCTTGGTTTTGCGGATACAAAAACCTACAATGACTAGATCTTGGACAGAGATGAGATAGAGAGAGGACGGGATGATTGGTGTTAAACACAGAGCAAATTCGCGCATGAGAAAGAGATGAGAGAGAGAAGAGAGAGCAAATTCATGGACAGAGATTATAGAGAGAAGATGTGGGTCAGATCGGTTGGTTTTGGAGTAAGGTTGAATAGCAGTTAATTTTGATCAAGTAACATTTGTAGCAGAAAGGAAAGAGGCTTCAACTGAAGACCAGCTTTCCAAACTTAGAGCAATCCAGTAAAGGAACTCTTACTAGATATTTCCCAATTACTAGCCTTACAAGATATATTCAACTAGACTCGAAAATCTAATCCAATCCAGTCAGATAAATTTTTAATGCAAAGAGGATTGAAAAAGTCTCAACTTTTCAATTGAAACAGAATGGAGCTTTATCTAGTGTATAGTGGACTTCGCACAAATAATGAAATAAGTCATCTACCCTAAAAAATTATTTAGGCTGTATTAAGTAAAAGACCAATCCAGCACAACCCTTTACAAATCTGATTGATATAAAGTTGCTAATCGTTTTATAATTGCAACAACTAATTTTTTTTTTATGCAATTTGTGTGTGTGTCTGTGTCTGTGCACGATGGCTAGTTGCAAGAATATTTACATCAAGGATACTCACATATATTGAACAAACTATACTAACCATCTGAAGTTGTTTTTTTCTTCTGATTCTTGCAGGACATCTTTGTTGGTGGAACTGACACCACTTCCACAGTCCTAGAATGGGCAATGACAGAGCTATTAAGACACCCGAGAGTCATGAATGATGTGCAAAATGAAGTGAGAGAAATTCTTAAAGGTAAGCCACACATAACAGCAGATGATCTGGATAAAATGCACTACCTTAAAGCAGTGGTCAAAGAAACTGTTCGTTTGCATCCTCCTTTCCCATTACTCGGACGTGAAGCGAGTGAAGATGTCAGAGTAATGGGCTATGACATTCCAGCCGGAACAGCAGTTATTATCAATGCCTGGGCAATCGGAAGGGACCCCGCGACATGGGTTGAACCTGAAGAGTTTCAGCCTGAGAGGTTCTTGAATTCTTCTATAGATTTCAGAGGGCATGACTTTGAATTGATTCCATTTGGAGCTGGCAGGAGGGGCTGCCCAGGGACCTCCTTCGCAATTGCCACCAATGAGTTTGTGTTAGCAAATCTAATGCACAAGTTCAACTGGGCATTGCCTGGTGGAGCCAAGGGAGAACATCTGGACTTGACTGAATGCTCTGGTGTTACAATCCGCAGAGGAATACCTCTCCTTGCTGTTGCAACTCCATGTTCTTGCTAGTGTAATCTGTGACATTGTCATGTTTGTTGCATGTTTCCTGTTTACGACAATAAAACATAATTAAAAAAGAGTGTGTGTAAGAATAGACCAAGTACAATTAGCTTAAAGAATTATTGGATTGTGAATTAGATAATGAGAACTGAAATCCTAGAAGAAACTTTTCTGACTTATCACATTTGTTTGTGTTACACTCATCTTGTCTGACAAAGCATGTAAAAGATTACACTTGGATACAAGATGCTGTCAAGGTGACTAACCCAGTATATAATTTTTCCAGTTAATGATAACACGAGAGACAAAATGAAAAATCATCACTGTTAGAAAGAGCTTTTTGAGTCCAAGTGACTGCAGTAATTTGGAATATGGAATTCCACTTAATCAAATCACCTACGATACCAGATACCTCATCACTGGAATTATAATCCCTGGCTGAAATGTTATGTGGTAAAATGTGGGTGGCAAACGACCCCTCCTGACCAATATGGGAACTCGCACACCCTGACCCCAACTGATGTCCAGGTTCTTTCAACCCATAGAAATTGGAATAAACGTTTCTCTGTGGAGGAACAGAATAACAATTTATTCCATGTAACCTTCATCAATCCATTTGACTTCTTTCGCTAAAAAAAAAAAGTACCTTCAAATTGATCGCAACCCTACTTAACCTGCTAGACTTTTTTTCTTTTATTTTCGTCCTTAACGATCCGTGCATGCAGTATGCTGTGTTTAGAATAATGTAATAGAAAGAGTACTAGCAAGGGCAAGAATAGGATCAAATACGACCATGTATTGGCTTTAAGATTCATGATAACGAAAAGCTACACAGATATCTCAAATCATATACAAATTAGATCTGCAGTAACAAGAGATCAAAGGGTTTAAACCATTCCTATAAAGTATAGCCATGTTTGGTTTAATTATTTAACAGAGTATGATATTTGCAAAAAGAGAAATAGTTTTCAAAATATTATGAGAGATTCTCCTCTAAAATTGAATAATAAAATACTATTCAAAGTCATGTCTAGTTTAACTAAATTAATTTCAATTCCAAATTCAAGTCGCTGATTCGGTGTTCCCAAACGCAACAACAATGAAATCCTCATTAGTTTAAAAACAAGTGTGGGCGTGCACACAAAAGGGATGTGTCTAGTTTTCTGTGAAGGAGAAGTTACTGACTTCACATATTGTTTAATACTTTAATCTCATGCAGACACATAAAGAAATCTTCATTAGTTTAAAAACAAGTGCTCTAACACGCATACTAAGGGATCTGTCTAGCTTTCTGTATCTGAATCTGATGGAGCAGCTAGTGTCTTCATTTCTCTTGCACCCATTTTTCTTCTCTTGTCTTCCGTTATTATTCATAGCATTCCTCATCAAGACATGGCACCTCAATACTTCTACTATCAACAAACACCTACCACCTTCACCACCAAAGCTCCCAATTTTAGGAAACTTGCACCAACTGCACTTGCCCGCTCACCGCTCACTCCGATCTTTATCTCAACGACACAGGCCTCTCATGCTGATTCACCTCGGCAGCAGGCCGACACTTGTTGCCTCATCCGCTGACACTGCTTGAGAGATCATGAAAACACATGATCTTGTCTTTTCAAACAACCCAAAATCGAACATTGCTAACCGGCTTCTCTACAATTACAAGGATGTGATTACGGCCCCTTATGGTGAATTCTGGAGGCAGATGAAAAGCATATTTGTACTCCAGCTTCTAAGTAATAGAAGAGTTCAGTCTTTTCATAATGTCAGAGAAGAAGAAACAGCCCTCCTGATGAAGAAGATGGAAGAATCATCTTCTTCATCCTCGCCATTGAATTTAAGTGAAATGTTCACGCTGCTAACGAATGATGTGGTATGCAGGATTGCTTTTGGGAGGAAGCACAGTGGATGGGGAGATGAGAAGAATTTTATGCTGCAATTGAAGGATTTCGCAGGGTTGTTGAGCAGCTTTGATGTTGGGGACTTCATTCCATGGCTTGGATGGATCAATCATGTCACTGGTCTTTATGCCAAAGTGGACAGAGTTGCAAAAGAGATTGATGAATTCCTGGAGCAAGTAGTTGAAGAGCGTGTGAATGTCCTGAAAAGGAAGAGTTATGGCAACGAGAGAGTTGAAGAAGAAGGCAGGGAGGGAGGATTTCCTTGATATTTTGCTTAGGATCCATAAAGACAATATTGATGTTGATAGAGATTGCATCAAAGATCTCATCTTGGTGAGGATCTCTGTGTGTGTGTGTGCGTGTGTGTGTGTGTGCGTGTGTGTGTCAAATTAGAAGTTTAATAAAAAACCAGAAAGATACAACACAACACCCACTCATCAGCAAAACAAGAATGTTAATCAAACAATACAAATGAAACTTCCACATCAGAAAACAGCAAAGGAATACAAATGAAATCAGCATAAATATTTCAGAAGAACTAGCTTCAACTTAAGACCAGCTTTCCAAACATAGAGCAAACCAGTTAAAGTACTTGATGTTACCAGATATATTCAACTAGCCTCACAAATCTAATCCAATCTAGTGAGATCAATTTTTAATGCAAAGAGCATTGAACAAGTCTCAACTTTAGATTTACAGGGGAAAAAAAAAAAGTCTCAAATTTTCCAATTGAAACGTAATGGAGATTTATCTATCTATAGTGTATAGTGGACTTTGCACAAATTAGCAATCCATTCTGAATATTTCTTTAGGCTGTATTAAGTAAAAGACCAATCCAGTACAACCCTAAACAAATCTAATTGATATATAGCTGCAAATCATTTAATAATTGAGACAACTAATTTTATGTCATGAATTGTCTCTCTCACTCTTAAGTCTGTCCTCTGTGTGTGTGTGCATGATGGCTAGTTGCAAGGATATTCACATCAAGGATACAGACATATATTGAGCAAACTTTACTAACCATCTTAATTTGTTTTATCTTCTGATTCTTGTAGGATATCTTTGTTGCTGGAACTGATACCACTTCACAGTCCTAGAATGGGCAATGACAGAGCTATTAAGACACCCGAGAGTCATGAATAATGTGCAAAATGAAGTCAGAGAAGGCAAACCACACATAACAGCAGATGATCTGGAGGAAATGCACTGCCTTAAAGCAGTGGTCAAAGAAACTGTTCGTTTGCATCCTCCTATCGCATTACACGGACTTGAAGCGATCGAAGATGTCAGACTAATGGGTTATGACATTCCAGCCGGAACACTGGTTATTATCAATGCTTGGGCAATCGGAAAGGACCCCATGTCATGGGTTGAACCTGAAGAGTTTCAGCCTGAGAGGTTCTTGAATTCATCTATAGATTTCAGAGGGCACGAATTTGAATTGATTCCATTTGGAGCTGGCAGGAGGGGCTGCCGAGGGACCTCCTTCGCAATGGCCACCAATGAGTTTGTGTTGGCAAATCTCATGCACAAGTTCGATTGGGCATTGCCTGGTGGAGCCAAGGTAGAACATCTGGACATGACTGAATGCTCTGGTGTTACAATCCGCAGAGGAATACCTCTCCTTGCTGTTGCAACTCCATGTTCTTGCTACTGTAATCTGTGACATTGGCATGTTCGTTGCATGTTTCCTGTTTTTGAGAATAAAACATATTTAGAAAGAGATTGTGTAAAATATTGACTAAGTACAATTAACTTAAAGCATTATTAGATTGTGCATTCGATAATATTTAACTGAAATTCTAAAAAAAAAAAAAACAACCTTTTGGCTTATCACATTTGTTTGTGTTACACTCATCTTGTCTAAAATATGATAGAGGAATGTTGGAATGTAATTCTATATAGAACACGGAGCATGAAAAAAGATTGCACTTGGATACAAGATGCTGTCAAGGTGACTAACCCAGTAAACAATTTTCCCAGTTAATGATATAATATTTAGAGCTCAATCAATAAAAGTGACAAATGAAACATCATCACTGTTAGAAAGAGCTTAATGGATCCAACTGACTGTAGTAATTTGGAATTTGAAATTCATGTTAATCAAATCACCTACAATACCAGATACTGCATCACTGGAACTAAAATGTTCTATGGTAAAATGTGGATGTCAAAGGACCCTGCCTGGCCAATATGGGAACTCACCCACCATAACCCAAACCGGCAACCCATAGAAATGATAACGAAAATGTACGCAGATAGCTCAAATCATATACATATTAGATCTGTAGTAACAAGAGATCAAAGAGTTACCATGCCCATAAAATACATGTTCTGGTGGGACAGACATATTATAGCTTCCGCTTATTGTTATTATGGTTGTACTTTGGTACTTTGATAGAAGCTATTTTCCCAAAACAACAAATTATATTCTTATACCTCAAATCTTCACCATCGTTAGATTGTGTAGTTGAAGTAGGACAGTTTCGATTTCAATTTACAACTGTGAACAAAAAATTCATTACCAGTTACATCAGTCAAGAACGCAGATACATAAAATATTTGTGCGAAAGCAATTTCAGTAATGAGAATGACATGCATAACAGTAATCACTAAGTTTTTACTTGATTAGTGCGAAACGATTTAGGGATTTGATAATGAAATCGACTTGTTTGCTTTAATTCATTATAAATCAATGAGTTCATACATCATCTGTGCGAAACAATTTAGGGATTTGATAATGAAATCGAGCTGATTCGTATTATGACATGCAATGGCCTAAATTCGTGCTGTGAAAAGGGAAGAATACCTGCGGTATGGTTGCGAAGCAATTTCCAATTGCTAGGGCTTCGGATTGACCATTATGAGGAAGAAGAAGATGGCCTGCGACAACTTGCTAGGGTTTTGAATTGAAGCTTGATGAAGAAAGATGACCGTTGTGACTTGTGCAAATGTAATGGATGGTAGCGCGATTCGGGTCGGGTAATGTTGGTAAATTTGAAGATAGCTCTTTTGCCCGTGACACAAATTATTGGCGTTGTGAAATTGAGAGAGCATAGAATATCCGGGTACTTGCATCCTCAACTAGTGCATAAAAATTAAATTCACAACTTAGTAAATTGAGTTGTGAAATAAAATTTTATTTTTAATTTAAATTGTATATTAAATAAAGAAATAGTTGAAATAGATATTTAATTTTATTTCTGTATATGTGTATAATTTTCTGCACTGATGGAGCTGCTACCGACCTCATTTCTTGGGCATCCATTTTTCTTCTCTTCTCTTTCCATATATATATATAGCCACGAACCAACCTTAAAAAGCAAACTAATGGAGCCACTTGCTATTGTTATTATTAATTTTCCTTCTGTTTTTGTGATTTTTGAAGTTCGGGTTTTGTTAGTAAAAGGGTATATGATTGGCACTGTAATTTTTTAAATTTTATTTTATACATTCATGAAGCTATGATTCCAGTTGAAAAATGGAGATAAACTATATATATTATACATGAATTGCTAGTGTTTCTAGTGATTGAAGGTTAATAACTTTGTAACAGGTAAAGCTGTACGTGGTCTTCGTCAGTTACAGAAAAAGAGAGATCGAAAACCTTTTAAAGTGATCCAGGTAGGGGTAGTTTGGGCATTTAAATTTTTTATTTGACTGAAATTTAACGGACATGTCAATATAGGAGCTATCTGCTTAAATAAGTGTCGGTGAACACACACAAACAAATCTGTCGAGTTTTCTGATGATGGAGCCGCTACTGACTTCATTTCTTTGGCATCCATTTTTCTTCTCCTCTTTCCGTATATATAGATAGCCACGAGCAAACCTCACAATGCAAACTAAGAAATCCACTTGCTATTGTTATTATTATGTTTCCTTTTGTTTTTGTGATTTATGAAGTTTGGGTTTTGTTAGGAAAAGGGTATATGATTTGTAACGATCCGAATTTGTGGGTCCGAACCGTTAATTGGGTCCTTACCCGAACCCGTAGTCAACCAAGTCATACCATTCATCTTCTGTGTCCATGACTGTCAGACGAGTCAATCCATTGTCCAAATGCTCTAAGACACAACCTTACAAAGATGGTCAGATGCATAGGTCAAAGAGGAAGGGTCAGCTGACAGAGCATAACCGTTCAGCACATGGTCGGTCGTTCTGACTTACAAGGTTCGGTCATTCTGACCTAGAATGGCTCGGTCGTTCTGACCTCAGATGGTTCGACCCTTAGCCGTTCGGAAAGAAATGTTCGGCCCTCAGCCGTTCAGAAAGGAAGGTTCGGCCCTCCGCCATTCGGAAAGGAAGGTTTGGCCCTCGGCCGTTTGGAAGAAAGGTTCGGCCCTCGGCCGTTCGGAAAGAAAGGTTCGGCCCTTAGTCGTTCAGAAAGAAAGGGTCGCCCTCGGCTGAAGGAAAGGTTCAGCCCTTCATCCCTTGGCTGAAAGAAAGGTTTAGCCCTCGGCTGAAGGAGAGGTTCAGCCCTCGGGTGGCTCTGCCAATTAGCTGGTTCTCCTTGTCAGCCGGCCGACAGGCCCTGGATAGCTGCTATCTGCAACCTGGTAGTCCAGAACCCTGGACTCTTAATGAGCCGACCTTGATAATCAACTTAATGTGCAGCCGAACCCAAATTCACGTCAATAAACATGACATTTTTAAATGAAAGGCATCTACAATTGATCAGAACTTAACTCTATTACCCATTCATCAAGAAATAATTATATAGTCTTATTTTATACAATTGAAAAGAATTAAATACAAGGATGAGGCCTCCCTGGCCAAAATTTACATAGCTTTAATATAAATAAAATGAAATAAATTCCTAACTACATCAGTGTCCATAGATGCACATCATTTTTCGGCTTGTCTCAGAATTCCTAAAAAATGTTAATGATAATAGGGTAAACTCAACAGCTCAGTAGGAAAAAACCTAAAATACATTCCTAAAAATCCCGTGAGCCGCAACCAAAGAAGAGGAGATCAGGAAAAAAAATCATGGGAATACTAGCCACTACATCATACATGAATTTTCACAAATTCTCAAATCATTTCATCACCTATCATGTAGATCAACAACAAATCATGCTTCACAACTCAATACTGGACAAAACTAAACATGCTCACACCAACAAGATTTATATGTAAAGAACACATAGGAAACTCACTAAAATCATAGGAATTCGTAATTTAGACTTCCCCTACCTCAAGATGGCAACCCAAGCTCCAAGCTTCGAACTTAAATCCCACCAAAAGCTTGTAATACCGGTACCAAAATGTAGCCCTTTCAATGATCTATAATTTGCTAACTCCGGCTTAAACCAAATCTTCTTCTAGCATGAAGAAATTCTAGAGAGAAGGAAAAGAGCAATATAGAGAGAGAAAATAAAGAGAGGAAAAACATGTTTGCCGAAGGAAAAGAAACGAATGGGTCAAAAATGAAGCCATCCTTATTGGTCTCTAGAACATTTAGGTTGGTCCATGAGACTAAAATAACAAAGATGCCCCTTAAACTTCTTTGCAACCTCAACAATGCCATAAAATATCACAATCTACTTAATACCACTAATATAACATACATACATGAATATAAATACACACACACATGTGAAATGCCGATGATGCCCCTCCCTTAGGATAAGAAAACCGGGAGAAGTTCCCGAGTCCAAAAATCATCTCGATTTCTGAAAAATTCTAAAAATGAAACCGTCATTTCTAATTGACTTAGAATGACAAATAAAACACACTGATAAACGCCGAATATTGCATATTCAAGCGCCCTTATTTGCATTAGTTAAGTCCATTAGTTGATCATAATGTATAGTTTAGCTTTATTTGTTTATTTTCTTCTACTTTCAGGTTGGTTCCCCCGAATAAGGTTTAAGGAACGGTTTTAACAAACTCTTGAAGAATCAAAGTATGCCATTGCTGGGGACCATCTTTTGGGCCAAGCTTCTTGAGTCATCATATGTGTGAAGTTTGCGGTATAGTGCTCAGGACGACAACCGCATCAGCAGATCGGCTCAAAGTGGCTCAAGAGAGGAATGAAGGTTTTGCAGCTAAGCTCCGCAGGCCCCCGCCAAAACCTCCAGTAGCCCTTTGTTCCCGTGGGCGCCCGTAGCAACCCCGCGGGCCACCACCGCAGCACCGTGGGGGCCCGCCGCAGATCCGCTGGCGCCCGCCAAAACCTCCAGTGAGCTCCTCGGATTCTGAGGACCCGCGGGCACCCACCATCGCCCAGTGGCCCCCGCCGATCTGTAAAAAGCAGATCACGTGCTCCTGATTTCAAGCTGCATTTTGTCCCCTAAGAAATTTCTGTGGTCCTTATGGCTTCTAGGGTAGTTGGAGCTCGAAATTGAGTTATTGGAGGGAGGATTTTGCCTAGATAAGAGGTTGGAAGCTTGTATTTTTGGGGGATCTCACATTTGGTGCAAAGTTAGAGAGAGAAATAGTGAGTTTGGAAGGTTTGGGTATTCTTGAAGCCTTAGGTGCGAAAATGGAGGTGGAGGCTTCTTCTTCTTCTTCATTCCTTGTATCCATGGGTAACTAACTCCTTATCTAGGGAGGTGATGAAGCCCTATTTTGTAAGCATTGCTTAGTTTTGATTTAATTTTGGGGTATAATGTATATATATGGTTTTTTCTATGAGCTAGAGCACCTTACATGATGTAA